ACTTATTTTATTTTAGCATAAAGATAACTTGTAAACTAATTTCCTAAAGGAAACACAATAAACAAATAAGTTGGGCAGATTTTTGAAGACACGGGATAAATTGAGGATAGGGTAAGGACTTTTCATAGGAGGCATTCTTTTACTGATTATATCTTTGGCTATACATTCTATAACAATATTATTTTCAATATTTGACTTTAGATCTAATACCGAACAACTTAGATAGATTTTAACAACAATAGATTTTATGCATATGTCCACTGTGACTCATCAATAGATTTTATTTAAGTTTTCAGTGACACTTGATTCAGATGGATATTGTATAATTTGGGTTTCGTGTAAGCTCTTAAAATTACAATTGCATTTGAAATTTTTGTAGGATCATTAAGAATTTCTTGCAGTTCAAGCTTTTAGTGTAACATCATCTTTATTGTAAAATACTATATTATAATTTCCGTAAATGATAGTTTAAAAAAGCAAACTTCTGTATTGCTTTCGTAGATTATAAATAAAACACTTGTCATGTACCTTTACGCATAAAGCAAAGTTTTATGGTAAGTGAGAAAAAAAACAGAAATGTATTCGAATTATATAATAACGATAGTGCGGGCTTGAGAATTTTATTGTGATCTTTATATAAAAAAAAGTAAGCTTTCTTCTAACGCTTTTTCAGATTCTTATATTTTGAAGTGTTTTTCAAACTTGACTCGGTCTTTAAAATGGCTTAGCTTTTACTTGAGGTATCATTTACTTACCAGTAGTTACTTCACTGGTGCACAACTACTATTATTAAAAGAAACATTTTAATTCATTACTAAACTATTACTAATGCACATATACACCTTTACAGTAAATAAACTATTCAATCATGTTTTGAAAATATTCTTTTAATATTCCCACAGCCTCTAGCCATGATATCAAATTATTACAAAGAGGATTATAATTTATATCTGTGTATTATAAATTTTATTACAATTTGTACAGTATACGTAACTCATCCATTATAACATAACTGAGCATATTTTCTGAAGAGAAATTATCTACAACGAATATATTTATGAAAAACAATGTTATTTCTTCAACGTCGTATTTAATACTGAAGAAAAACAACGATATACAATAAATTGCAACCGGGACAATTTTTTTATTTTGTTAATAAATCTAAAACAATTATTTCACATTGCATTACAGCAATACTAATTGGCCTCATTCATCCAAGTTTAAAAAAATCATATTTTCGATACATTGACGTTTAGTTACTTCGAAAATACAGTAAAATGGAACAGCTGTAAAATGCAAACAATCAAGACAACAAAAATTCCAAGGCACAGTAGTGTGTTTCACTTCACGCCTTCATGTCGACGCAAATGGGCGCTAAGGGTGCCGCGTTGGGTGAACCGTTTCTCGCAGATTTTACATTTATAAGGCCTCTCGCCAGTGTGCGTCCTTCGATGTTTCACAAGGTACTTCCTCGAGCTGAACGCCTTTCCACAAAATTCACAGATCTCTGGTTTCTCGCCTGTGTGTATCCTGATATGTATCTTCATGTACTGCCGTCTGATCAGCTTGCCGCAGACTTTGCAAGCCACCTGACTCTCCCCAGTATGCGTCCAAAGATGCTCCTTGTAACAGTAACTATAAAACGTCTCGAATCCGCAGATCTCGCATTTGTATTTCTTTCTAGTCTCCGGCTGGCTGTGAATTTTCATGTGACTCCTCAGATACACCCTGTTACCGAACGACTTGTGGCAGATCTCGCAGGCGCAAGGCTTGTCGTCGCTGTGCACGCTCATGTGAGTCTTCAGGGTCGCCTTCAGATAAAAGCCCTTGTTGCAAACCTCGCAAAACTCCGTGAATTCTTTATTGTGCCTCCGGATATGGATCTTCAAATAGTACTCCGAGGTTAGTTTCGCGCCGCACACGTGGCAAATGTGAGGCGCCCCGTGCAGCGTTTTGTGAACGTTCAGGTATTTCTTCTTTTTGAAGACCTTGTGACAGACGTTGCACTCGATCGGCCCAGTTGTTTCTTTATCGCGGCTTTTCATTCTCATTGGATTAACCATTGGCTTTAATGTTCTCACGCTAGCCTCCTGGCAACACGTACGTCGATGTCTGAACAATTGTTGTTTCTTGGTGAATGACTCGCAACATGTGTCGCACCTATGTTTCCTTTCGGTCTCGCGCAACATCTGCCGCGTGCGAAGGATCGACCTTCCGGTTCTGTGCATCAGCAATGAGGCATCTGTATCAAATTTCTCGTCGCAAGACTCGCATTGGGGCGATTGTGAATCCGGGCAGGATTTATTGGATGTGTCCTCGAGGCTAACAAATGTTCGGTCTTCCTGTTTTGACGATATAATGGACCGAGATCGATTAGGCCTGGCCGACATCGGCTTCGCTTTTCTCGGTCTGCAAACAGATAACAAGGCGGTAAGCCGGGTTCAAATCGGGCGCCTCCGATTGTGCTGCACTGCACGAAGACACTTGGAAAGTATGCCGAGATAAGACGCTAATTGGCGAGGAATATTCGATTCTCTAATGGTATACGTGATCCGGTGTCGTTCGTCGTATATGGATGAAAATGTGTTCCTTTCTTTAAGTGACGTTGGACTACTTATTAAACGATAATTACCAGGCGGTATGGTTCAGATATTGAACAAGATGAAGCTACTTACTGCATCAAGCCATTTCAAAATGAAAGCGTATGATTACGTGTACGGTCGGTCAGATTCCTTCGAAGAATTATTTGAACAAGGACGACACACAACGCTAAACTGAGATGAATTTCGAAACCTTGAATAAACACTCCTTTGCGTGCAACGGTGTTGTACTGTATCATTGTTTAATATTAAAACATTCGCACTATTGGAATTCCTTTAAGTTTTATTAATATCATAGGCGTGTGTAACGAACATAAAATACTGATCGTCTGTAGTTTAAGTAATATTATTACTCGGTGCTGAATACTGCAGAATAGTTTATACATACAAATATAGTTTGTATCTGTAGACACGTAGAAAAAGAGGGGGCCAACGATATTTGAATCACTGATTCATGGATCTTTTCATCTAGTTCTTCGACTGGCCAATTTGTGCCATAATCAACTGGCTCACAGTGCCCTCCCTCCCTTTTTCCAGTTTCCAGACACTACTTAACGAGTCTGGGGCTCCCCGATCCCACGTATCTGAATAACTGTTTCGTTATTTATTCTTACGAAATGCTTCCAAAAAAAGATTCTATCGTATTACTCGATTCAGACGAGTAAAGATTTGACATCTGATACAAATGACTGCGAACGGATGTGCGTGACTCTAAATCATTATACAGAAAATTTGCGAAATACAGATTATCCTCGTAGAACACGATTTTGTTGTGGAAAAGTTAGTGAATTTAACACTAGAACTACCGAAGATGGACGTGTTTCTATATCTATTATGTTGGTAAAATGGTCTGCTCGTTGCAAACTTGTAAATCGATAAATTAACGAACTTTTTTACTTATATATTGCAATAAAAGTTGCGAAGTATCTTAAAAAATACACTGTATTTTTATAGTTTTTATAAGAGTTTAGGAACCATTTGCTTTGTCTGTTTTCAAGATAGTTCCAGTGTTTAAGCAAAAGCAAGTAAACGTAAGTTATTGTTTAATGTTTTCAGTAACATAAGCTTCCAATAATTGTGTAAATGGAATGATTTCTATTGTTTCGCATTGTTAATCCTGTATAGGTTTTATCAGAATTAGCTTATACGACGATCACCCGGCAACATAATCTTTCACAAAAAAAAGTCTCTCTTAACAATTCATTCAAACCATATATTGCACTACTTATAAGTGTCAATTACTGATAAAAAAACACTTCCTTCTGCCTCGCAGGAGGTATAACGCAAAGAAATCGCGATAAAAAATACGGTGCATACTGATTATTCGAGAGAACTATGTGTTAATCATAAATTAGTAAAAGCATCACATTTCGAATGAAGATAACAATCAATTTAAATAGATGTAGCTTATAAGACAACGATTATGTATGTCACAATCACATTAACAATACATGCCCGTGTATTTGTTAACATAAAAAAAAAAATTATTATCACAAATCGAAGTACCTTCCTGCGATTGCTGAATTAATTTGCAGATGCTGAAGCGTTATTAACTATCGTCGATTAAGTTTTACTCCTATGAATGATAACGATGAATTATATGCTGTATCGGTTATTCTTTTCAACTAGCTGTATTGTAAATTTTTTATTCGGACACTTTATATGCATCGCATAACAACTAAGGCACTAGTAATGTATGTCAGATCCACTAATAAAGCACTCCCCGTGAAATTCGAACGATTCGAATAACGTACACTGGCGGGGAAACGGGTAAATCATTTCTTCCGTATAAAACGAATACGAGCATTTAAAAAATATAATTTAAAAAATCTTCGGAAAAACGCGGACGGCTGCGTGTTTCGTAAAATGTGTCGACTAATAAAGTACAAATTACGAAATTTTACGAACTACGAATATCAATAAGAACTATTTTATACATTTCGAAGTTTCGTCTAACGAATTTCTCACTTACACTTTTCACGACAGTAAAAAATTTGCGAAAAATCAGCGTACAATTAATCTTACAAACGTTACTGAAATGGAATTCTGAAAGTGCATACAATCTCCCCCGTGAAACTTCCATTCACCGTTGTGCTACCAATCATTTATAATATATAAAAAAAAAACACGAACTTATTCAAAATAAGTTTTTAATCGAGATTCTAACGTAGGACTCACACTACTTTAATACAATATCAAGGAACTTATATGTATAGCACACTGTCTTTTCATATGCTAGTTGGCGATATTTATCTCCGTTTAATTGATAAAATAATATCAAGATTTCGTGTAAATAAGATCACAGAGAGGCAATATAAAAAAAAAAAAAAAACTGAAATGCGCCAAATGCCAACGCAAAATATCTATCATCGTAAACCGCATCTCGTCTCTGTGCCACGATTTCGCTGTCATATAAAAATAAACGAGCATTCACAGACTGCCAGTTCCAGGTAGCAATGTACCACGCTCTTTACAATCACAAAAAGTATGGACAGCGGCGTTTATCTTCGGAACATAAGCTAATTTCTGTGCGCCTTTTCGTCGACCTGAACGTAAAATGTTCTCTCCGTAAACACTGATCATCCTTCAGAATAATATCTATTCGATTGTCGCTCGGCTATTCGAAGTATTCTAGCTAGGCAATAATATAGTTATTGTGTCAAGGGACTGGTCCTGAGTCTGAACCTCAGGATCCGGTTGTAGCTGCTGTTCTTGTTGTTGCTGTTCCAATTGTTGCCGGGCGGTTTGCTTGGCGTGCGTCTTCAGATGCGAGTTCAGCATCGTTTTCGAGGCGAACGATTTGTGGCAACAGGTGCAAGGATACGGCCGGTCGCCGGTGTGACCTCTCAGGTGCACCACTAATGTGGTCCGTTGGGTGAACCGTTTCTCGCAGTGGGTGCATTTATGAGGCCTTTCGCCGGTGTGCGTGCGTCGGTGTACGCTCAGATAGTTCTGCGAGATGAAGCCTTTACCGCATAGATCGCAAACGTGTGGTTTCTCGCCAGTGTGCTTGCGCAGATGAACGGTCAGGTAGGTCTTGCTGGACACCGCTTTGCCGCAGACAGGGCATATGAACTCGTTCTGGGGTCCCGCGTTCCCGTGTGTTTTCATGTGCACCAGCAGCACCTGTTTCCTGGAGAACCGTTTGTTGCAGAGCTCGCAGTGGTGTTTCCTTTGAGGCGGCACGTAGTCCGGTTGATGCAGCTTGGCGTGCAGCCTCAAGCCTTGACGGTATCGAAATGTGGCGTTGCAGACTTCGCATTGGAACGGTTTGTCGTTGGAATGTTGAGTGTTCAGATGTTCTTGGTAACCGTTACGGGAGAAGAACGCAGCGCTGCAGATCGCGCACTGATATTTGTAGTCGAGACTGTGTCGTTTCTGATGAGCGATCAAGCTCTCTTTGTGCGTCGCGACGAACCCGCACGTCTCGCATGTATAACCATCGTCCGACTCGTGCTTCAATTGATGTTCCTCCAGAGCGGAGGTCGTGGCGAAACCACCGCCGCAATGCTCGCAAACCAGCTGGTCATCCTGCAATTGTGCGTTGCTCTGCTCGTGCATCTCTAGATGCATTCCGAGTGCCTGCTCGGACACGAAACCGTCTTCGCAGAGACTGCACTGCACGATACTCTCGGAGACGATCAACGCGGGATTCTCGACCTTCGGCACGTGCAAACGATCTGTGATCAGCAGCTGCTCTGTGTCATCCTGATTGAAAATCTCGCATGGGTTGCAATCCTGCTGGTCCTGCGGTAGCATCTCAATCTTTGACACAAAAAATCTGGAAAGAAGAGAGACACAAACCGGGGTCAATCAATGCATATTTTAACCTCTTCGTTGTTTATACTTTTTATTTTGTTCTTTCCTTTTTTTTTTGTCGGGGAGCGTTTATCTATAAGCAGGACTTACAAGGCAGTTCAAATACCCGCGAGTATCTCTAAGGAAACGTTCAATAAAGTGCCTCAGTGCTTTCCAGTATTTCTTTTTTATTGTATTCTTACCCTTCCTTTCTTTTCTGGCGATGTTATATTATTTGCTGTATGTACTTAGTCGTGTACCAAAAAATCGTCCAGCAGAATCTAGAGATATGGTCTTGTTAAAAGAGAAGTATATTATTCAATTTATATATCCGAATGATGAGTTGCTCATATCAATACCCTTTAATGTTATTCATAATTCAACTAAATTATTTGCAGTAAGTAATAACTAAACTAGGCTGCGGACTTTACGCATTTATGACATATTCAAATAGAGGATTAATAATATTATTTTCATTTAATAAATCTTTTAACTGATAAAATAAATTTTTCTTTGATAACGGTTTCTTGAGAACAATCTATGAAAAATGGAATTTGCATAAATTTCCGCAGTGTACTAAAATATTCAACGATATGATTGTTTACGATATCTACGAATGGGCAACATTTATAAAAACATCCCTATTAGATATTATAGTTTTTATTACAAAGATGTGATTAAATAAATACTTAAACTATACAGTAATTAATAATAATGTAACACGTTCGTTCTTCATAATACGGATTCTCTGTTGAACACTTACCCACATGGTACTGTTTTACCGACGGTCCAATCACGTGACACAATCCGCCATCTTGGTTTTTCCCACGGAAATTTATCGTGATATATAGTAAATATTAATTTTTTGCTCCGAATTGGTACGCGCATTCATGAAACCGAACACTGTTTATAAAAAGTATTTTATAGAATGCGTATTTAACCTAAAGAATTTCATTTTTGTTTAAAAATAGAATTTTATACGTTCAGCCTGAAGTTTTGTCTCTACAGCTTCACATAAAAATCAATTTCTTTCTCTCTTGTATTTAATTGGAAATATTTTTTCTTAATCTAATGCTTTTTATAATCCAAATAGTGACAGTCAACATTATTGTTAAATAATTAAGAATTCCTAATTTGAGACAATTATGAATTTTTCTAGTAACATTGAAAACTTTAATTCCACGAAAAATTACATTTAGGAGTGACAAATTTCTCAGAAATATTTTAGCAACGATGAATTACATCTATATTATAAATAATATCAACACTAAAGATTTGAGTATTACAGAATTACATACAAATATATTTAAGCGTCTTCATACTTACGTCTTATAAATACGATATGCAGTAACCAACCTTGTACTCACATTACTTAGAGGCACATGAATTCATTGTTAACGCTAAAATGCTAAGCTGTATTATTCCTATCAACCAGCTTCATTAAGAATTGTTAAAATAATCGTATACTAGTAGAATATATGTTTATAATTGCATGATAAGGCTTCCCTACGAATCTAGTAATAGTTTTGTAAACATCAAATAACTTCTAACATTCGAGTACTATTAGTTTCTCCTTTTTCAAAAAGTCTAAACTCCTTTTTGGTCGATTAAAAATTCTCAAAAAATTCATCTGTTTTAGGCACATTAATTTTCAAACTTAGTTTCATTATACAGGTACTAATTATAGTTATACGAAAATTCGCGCTCAAAACTAACGTTATCAAATTAGTTTCGAAATTCTATGTTCTCAAATAATACCGAGTCTCCTATCATTGTAAATACACAGAATATTCACGTACGAACAATATCACAGTGACTGCATGCATGTTATATATAAAAATGAATAAACTAACGAATTCGTAATGTATTCCTATCATTAATCAACAAATTCGTTTCAACTCAAAAGCACAACAAGCTTATCTCTCGCTGTAGTTAAAATTTGTAGAAATATCAACAGAACTAATTTTGATAATCCTCGTGTTAATGTTTATGTGAGACTGCTTAATAGCGAGCAATCTTATGACACCTTGCAATAGAATTAAAAAAATATTATTACTAAGAACGTTAAATATTAAAAATATTACATAATTATACTTCCTCACCTAATTTATCCTAACGTCCTATTCCTAAATACTACAAACAAATACTGAACAACAATCTCCATCGTATATGGCTATAACTGCCTGGACTTGAATCAACAATAAATTTCAACTCAAAGAAATCATGAACTACTCCCGGTAACAGAACACGAATTAACACATGTATCTTGCACACTGGGCGTGCCAGTAGTAAACGTTAACAAAGCCTCTCCGTAAAATCCTCCCCGACTAACTCCTTAATGCTTTTTCATATGATTAAGCATAATCGTTCTGGTAACGAATCCTTTACCGCAGAGCGTGCAGGTATAAGGCCGTTCTCCAGTGTGATAGCGACGATGAACGGTAAGCGTGGACGCCTGAGTGAACGATTTCCCACACATGGCACAAAGATACGGTCTTTCCCCGGTGTGAATGCGCTGATGCACCACATAATACTTTCGATGTGTGAAACCTTTGCCGCAGACATCGCATACGAGAGGTCTGGACCTGTGCACGGCCTTGTGTGTGGTCAAGGATTCGATGCTGGCGAATTGTTTCGAGCATGAGTCGCACGGATACGAGGCTATCGATTTGTTCGGCAACGGGGCGGCGACCATGGTGCCGCTAATACTGCTGGTTACCGGATCACCACCACCGGACGACACCATGGACGTGTCGATGATTCTATCGTTTCCCGTCAGAACCGGCTTGTGTGTTTTCGCGTGATGATTGTACAGATTTCGCGTCTCGAAACGCATCAGGCACCTAGGACAGGAATAGGGTTTCTCCTGGCCGACTTCGTGCATCCTTCGGTGCCGCTCGAGTAACGTACGGTAACGGAAACTCGCTTGGCAACGGTCGCAACCGAATGTCTTCTCGACGTTCACAGAAGGCGACATCGTTGGAATCGGTGGACAGGAGGTCACGATCGGCGCCGTATGCGTGACCTCGTGCATCCGCAAGTGACTCAAAGCGTAGAAACTCCGTGAGCAAACGGCGCAAGAGTATCTCACCGAGTTGTCGATATTGTGCTCGAATTCCGGCAGACCTAGATGGCTCGTTCTCATATGGTAATTCAACTTAAGGGCGCTACGGAACTCGAGGCCGCAGGTGGGACACGGGTGGGACTCGACAACGATCTGCATGTGATCCAGAAGATTCTGATCGGAGCAAATGGACGGCAGATAGGACGGGGCGGTTTGGAATGTCGACGGCATCATCGACGACTGATTGGAGTATATAGAGGTGTTCTGAAGCAGGGTAGAACTGACAGGTAAACAGGTGTCCCCGGTCTCGGGTGACGGCGATAGTATTTGACGCAGCATCCCCGATAATCCGCCGAATGTCTCGCTTCCGTCCCTGAAATCGACAAAACCCAAGGACAATGCATCGAAGGAACAACCGTACAGCGCACACATAGGCATTGTTGTTTTGATTCGTTCGCGTGATCTTTTGCGTTATCTGTTGCAAACAGGCGGTGGTGAAAGATAGGAAAAGCAGAGATAGTTAAATTCTCTTCGGTTTTTCTTTTTTGGTGTAGTATGTGCGCTTGTGTGTGCGATTTCTGCAAAGTGACCGTGCAAAGTGCTTGGGCATTGTGGTTTCCCTCGAGACACACCAGCAGTAAAGTGCGACCAGAGCGATGAGTGCGAGTCGAGCTTGGGAGAGTTTTGTCGTCATCGTTACTGTCGAACAGAAACAATTTACAACCTTCTCCCGTGTATCTCTTATCTATCCCGCTCCCAGAAGACGGAACCACTTCGTTTATTTTCACTTTACCTTCAGGTTTCTATGATACAGTGTCTTGTCCTTCATATTACTCATACGTACTACTACTAAATATAGATAAGCCACTAAATAACGTTAAATATACCACCTTAGGATTTTATTAACATTAAAGGAATTATTAGCGAGTGTAAGAAAAGCAGAAAGACCGCGGTGATCTATTTCTGATCTTACATTACGTATCGCCTTTCCACATCGCTAGCCATTAAAAAGTAAGTGGTACAAACCGAGGGAGAAATGAAAGGTTTCTACAGCAAAACAGCTTAAGGAAGGAAAAACGTTAAGCTACTAAACTCATAGGCAAAGAAGTTAGAAGAAAGCAAACCCTTGCTGAAAAATCATTATCATCCGCTAACAGAGTAAGTTTCAAAACCAAAGATATGTAATATAATAAAGTCGGATTCTCACCTTTCAAAGAGACTCCAATCCACGCCATATCTTCTTTGTCTCCTTCTTACCACAAACTCTGGTCAACGTACAATCTTTTTCAAAGTTGAACAAAATCGAATGTACAGTCTGACCAATGCAATTACCGGAATTCAAATTGCAACACCGATAAAATAAAAAAATGTTAAACACGATCATAATGTGGAAAAATGGAATAGTTCCTGTTCCTGACGATTTAATACACTTCAGACAGAAACGTGAAATATTCCCGACCACATGACGATCATTTTCAATGTAAATATATTTCTTGCGCAAATAAATAACTGACGTTTTGTCACCGGTTGTTTTGCGCAAGATAAAAAAAAAGGCGCAAAACATGGGGCAGAAAAGTCGCTTGAATTGCCGGCGCGTAAATGCAGCCTGGTCTCACGCACTCGACATGGAAAAATACGAGTCACGATTGTAATAAAAGTTGCGATATAACAACGGTTCCGTTGTATTCACTGATGCGTGTGGGACAAAATATTGCTCGCTGCACACAAGGTGCGCGATGAAAGTAACGCGACTTCGAAGCGCTGCAAATTTCCGGAAAAAAATATGCAGGAGCTCGCTCGAAAATTTCGATGCAATCGCAACAAAAAAAAATTACGATGCACAAAGAGACAATGAAAAATCGATTCAGTTTCACATGAATTATACATATATATTATTGGATAAGAAACAAGCGTATAAATGTAGAAAAAGAACTTGATACTCGCCTTTTTAAAGTATATTGTAACGTCCTCTTCATGCTTCGTTTTTCATACGATGATTATACTTCATGTATTCACGTTTCGATAGTAATGTATCAATCGTTTTGAATCCGCTTTGATATCAAAATCGTTGATTTCTTTTTCATGAAAAAACACTATATTGCCATCGGGTGGCATCCAACGACAATGATGCCAGCCCATAAATTGTATGAGAATTTATTGGAATATACGGCAATATATATATATTGGAAATTACGGCACAAATATGCCACGGTTGGTTAGCGGATTTCTATTCATTTTCTTTTTTTGTTTTTGGTTCAGCGCAGTTAACAGAACGACAGCACTTATAAACTAACCGATATACTAAATGGTAACTATGTGGTCCTAACGTAATGTAAAGCGTAGGCATTGGAAAGCACGAAGACGACAAGAAACGGTATTCTTTACGAATTGTATATATATATATTACGGTTTTGGCGACTGATGCACCAAGATTCTAATTATCGTGACGTTAGTTTACGAGATATTAGTTTGTGATTTTTTTTGTCGGCCTGTTGTCGGCCGTGTGCGGCATTTTGTGCCTTCACGTAAGCGTGGGATATTGATATTGACAACATGTAAACATCTGGTATTCGGCTGAACAGAGGAATCGAGTACTTGAATCCCGAGACTGGTCACACAATGGAAACATAGTCGATTTTATCATAAATGGCAGGACGTGAACGTGTTGATAAATTAGGCTTGTGATTAGTGGAATCCCTCTGTTCATTTATCGTACATGTATGAATAATAACTAAGAGACAAAGTTCATTTGAATAGGAGTGTCCCAAAGAACAGAGAAAATATTAAATTACCGTATGATTGTACATGGGTTTCAAATACTATGATAAAGTCAGTCTTATTGAAATGAACTCTATGTACATGCTACCACATGTAAAAATATGAAAGTATTTTGCAATCTGTTTTAGAAGATGCACATACATTTTAGGTGATTCTTCGTAATTTTATAATAAATTGCAAAATACTGAGAGCCAAAGATGGTTGTGGGGTGTGTAGTAACTTACCTTGTAATTCTATTGCACCTTATTATATGAAGTCAGGTGTCTAACTCTTCAATATTTTCTTTTAAAAATAAAAATGATAACTGTTCAGCATTGGTCATAATGAATTGTTTTAATTTTTTTTTTAATTACAGAAGACCTGTTACTCTTTAGAATAGTGTGTACAAGAGAAATCAACAACAATGTAACTTTTTATAGTAATTTATCTCCACCCGTTAATTTAAACGAAACTTTAAAGGCAAATCAAATAAAATATTAAAATTGAGCGTATTTTTTTTTTTCAAAAATCCTGATAAATTGCGATAAAAAACTTAATGACATGTTCTTCATTGAAATAAGTTAAATCAAATTTGAAGTGAAGCTTCATGGGTTCAAGAGAAATAACATTAATAAGAATATTTGTGTATGTTTGTGTTCTCCACAACAAAACCACACCTTTGGCCCTGAAAATAATAAAAAATGGATAAAAAAACTCACCCAGTTTTGGGATCCCCATCTGTTGATTGTGGCATTGGCATCTCGGGCATGTCTGCGATTTTTTGTTGTTGCAATCCTGAAGGACCTGCTTCATCACACGCCAAGGAAACATTTACAAAGGTTGTAGGCTCTATGGTTCTACTATTCGGATCTTCTTCACTCTCTTCTTTTACAGGTAGGCCTGTAACACATAATAACAACACATTTAAATAAATCTTATAATAATATATTGTCAATTATATCGGAAAGTATACCAAAATACAAAATAATGAAAAATAAAACTGTTAAATAATACAAATTTTCTAAGATTAAAACATACCTTCATCCCCATCGCACTCATCATCGGAGTTCTCTTCATCCTCACTACTCTCCTCTTCGTCTTCTTGCTGTGTTGAGCTGGTTTGATTCTGCGATATTTGGTTATGTGTAGTTTGTGAACTTGGACCAGGCACTGCTTGTACCGTTTGTGCAGAACTGCCACTTGTGTCCATAGGAACTGAGGTTATTTGTTGTTGCTGGTTAGTATTGGGTAACATCATAGGAATGCCCAGGCCCATGTTGTCCATCATACCCATACCCATATTGTTCTGATGCTCACTCACTTGCTGCATCACATTTCCATCTAACCTGTTCTCTGTACTCTGTTCTTGTTTCATCACATTCTACAATTAAATATCCAAAAGAAACAAAATGCATTAGCATAACATGTTTTAAAGTGTATGAAAAAAAAACAGCAACATGTGTGATAATGAAAGTCACATAACCTTTTCGATATATTACTACTAAACAAAGCATAAAAAATGGATCACACAAATTTAGAAAATATAATGTCAAAGGTTGTAGGAAATAATTAACTGAATAATAAAAAGAACTTACAAACTGTATTTTAAAAATACTGTTCTCACTAAATATAGTGGTAACTAAGGATAAACACAGAACTGAATATCTCACAAATAAAAGAATATCTACACTCTAATGTTTTCCTATATACCATGTGGAACATATATTTCTATAAATTGTAATTGATTCAAAAGAAAAATTACCGGATTGAGTGCATTGGAAACATAACCCTGTTTGCCACCACCTTCCCCACCAACTTCTCCTAGCCATTGTAGCAGTTGCTTTTCTGCATTCGCTGTAGTATTCCAAAATTGGTAAAATAATTCTACTTTATACACACAGTCATCGCATATTTTCTTGGGTAATTTGTCTTCTCTTTCAACCTGTAATCATAAATAAAAACAATACAATGCAGTAATACTTTACATGAAACAGGTAATATTTAAAATATAGGTCAGAATCCAAAAAGAGTTCACAACTACAGCGAATAGTTTGTTACTTGTATGTAAACATGATATATTAGCAACTGTTTTCTTTAAACAAACTTCAATAATACCATTTACTAAACTATTCACAAAAATAACACACTACAAGACTGACCATCCACATGAAATCAATCCATACATGTGTACTTAGAGTCACATAGACGACCATTCGTAGTTCCGATAAAAACAGACATAAAAATATTACGTCGTAACATTAGAAATGTCTATTAATGGAACAGCTATAAAAAATGCAATAACTAAACTATATACAGTAATATCCATGTTACAATCAGAACAATGGTGTCGAAAACAAGATGTCGAAAACCAGGACAATTATTCAATTAGACCAATTGTCTGAAGAAAATTAATATTACGGATCATTACCCTCGAATAACGAAGTGAAAAAATTACCGCTCTGGTCGAGAGGTGAAGAAAAGTCAGAAGTAATCGATGAGTATTTGAGACAAGAAAAAAAGCGCGGCAAAATTTTACTGAATAATTTGTGGCGTCGTGGGCGAGTTTAGATAAAGTCCAAAAAGAGGGAAAGGGAAAGAAAAACACTGTGACACCAGTGGCTATTTCTACGTTGTTGCTCTGGGTCTACTTTCAATCGCTTCATGCATATCTTCGTTCTACAGGGCGATCTCTGAAAGAATCGTAACTAAAAGCATTTCTACTGGGAGGTTGAAAAGTCGTGGACGGCTCAGGAAACGCGGCGTAGCTATGAAAATGCACAAGATGGCGGATCGCCATTGTCGATGCGATGGCGTAGTTGGCTTACCTTGACCGGTAGACAGGCGGCGATCTTGAGAAAAATCTGCCGTACGTCTCCCTCGCCATCGAAAATCGGCACCGAAACACGGTCCTTCACGAGACACAGTCGACACAGGTCCAGATAATCGAGGGAGGACATTTTACCGTGTAAAACGCCAGCTCGAGACGCAAAGCCGCGCCCGTAGACGCGAACGCTGTTTCAACCCAAGCCGGAGAAGACCCCGCGTTCTTCTGTACGCGTCGTTTGCACACCGAACTTCGGCCGTTTTCGTTGCCTGTCGGCCACCTTCGGCTCGTTACGGATACCTTCGGAACCGCTCGGCAGGTCAGTTGCGTATCGATCACGTCGCACTCGAAGCCAACCGCTTTTGCACACGAGGTTTCGAACACTATGAAGTTCCCTTTCTTCCGACCGGAACGTTATTTATTATGGATCCGTGGCATCATTCGCAAAATCATTGCCGAATAGAAGAAACTTATGCTTCCACGGTATATTGACTATATTTTTATATTAATCACGCGCTAGTCGGCCTCGTTTGTTTCGTATTCGTATTAAATTGAAAATCTTACAAGATGGCTACAATTGTTGCCGACTATTCTATGTACCATCCTTTCTAATTGTGATAGGAAGTATTATATGCGATACGATCGAAGAAATGACGCGCTTTAAATCTATCTTTGATACGTACCGATTGATCGGCCAGGTGTTTAAGAGGTCGCCGAGGTAATGCAAACCTATCAAATTTTCATGAACAATTACTCCCACTTCTGCGTGCGGGATACAGTCACGCATGATCAAACGGACGCGATATACATACATATGTACTTGTCATACAAACGATAGAGCACGGATCAGAGTTTTCTGAAGAACATGCTGAGCTTAGATTAATTTATGTTTCATATAATCATTAGCTAATGATTTTCTATAGATTTCTTTTGTACATTACACTTCTATCTACTGTATTTAAATGTTCGATGCAGATAATGTGATTTTTTAAGAATCACCGGAAAGTATTTTTTGAATTATGCCTTTACAAATATAATCTTATAAATTTTATAATGCGAAAAATTGTATTTTAGGTCACAGTCGATTATTTTTGCACATAACTCCGGGATTTGGCTATTGATATGGAATAAGTACATACATTACTACATGCATTAGTGCAATATTAATTTCACAATATTGTACGGTGCTGCAGGAACTGTAAATGTTATCAAAAGTTTTTTTATTCAGATATACAATTGAAATAGTTTCTACACAATTTTCAGTTATAGAAAGTGCACGATATTAATTTTTACCGCTGAATACTAGATTTTCATTAACTTTTTTGTGGATAGTTAATGTATGTTATTGTTTGTATAATCAATATAAATGTTTAATGATTCTTACAACTGGTAAAAAAACGTTGCAAAGAACTGCAGAACCACAGTGCTGCCACGTTTCTTGTTGAGCCCATAGAACTTGTATGTATACCCTCACGTCGTTAAACATATCAATGACCTGTCCGGTCTTTTCCGTTCTTCTATGAACTGGAATGGTAGTAACTTCTTATCAAACATCCTACTGCCTTTTCATACATTTCATCGGTAAAATATTTTCATAGAACGTTCGAAAAAAGATGTAACGGGTAAGATTTATTTTTTATTAAACGAATTCTCAATTCAATCATTTCATTATTCATATTATTATTTGTGTAAAAGAATAATTCATAGTTGTAGAAAAAAATTGGTTGTAAATTATACTTAGATACATGTTCTATTATATACATTTTTTCAAATTTGAAATGGTGCAGGTACTTGATTTATGTTCTCTAACCAATTTGTTAGCAAGGTAGACGCAGTATTTGTAAAACTAATGATATTTGAGTGCAGTGGCAATGTCTTTACGTTAAAATTATTGAACATGTTAAGAATTTTAAGAATAAAAGTACAGTTACTTCAAAGTACAACTGCTTGCTATTTCATTCATAATTTCATTGTAAACGTGAAAGTGTTTGGATTAGAATCCACAGTAATAAGAATGTAATCATGCTGTACTGCAGGCAAAGACGAGGGTGTGAAAATGTGAATGATGCCTTTTTAAGTAATATGTTAAGCCTTCTACAAGAAATAGACATGACGTGAGTCTGTCTTCTCATATGTGCATGATAAAACGTAGTTGAAGCTCTTGAGATGGGTCGTATGTACGAGTCATAGGAAAGCCGTCTTAACTCTGTTTTGCAGCTTAAGTTGTATATGTACAAACGTGGCTTAAACTAAAGATGTTACCCGTAATTTGGGAAACTCCGGGTCGTAATCCTCTTGTCCAAGCTCGACTCGCATCTGGCGTTCACGTGGCTTTACGATACGGACATAAATCGCTATTGAGATGTAGGAAAAAACTACCAGTCTTTTATCCTGAGTCGATTTCCAGGTTTTGTCAAACCAAAGTTAATTCACAGAAATTTCGAACTTTGAAAATAAGGAAATAGTGTATTTCACGAAATTTATAAACGTAACAATCCAGTAAGTTGGCAAGGATACTATTGATCTTAGGAAAAGATTTTTCAAATTTCTCAAGGATCACTTTAATAGAAATAATTATTTACCTACTCTTGCAATTAATAACTAGAGTTGGAATTAAATACATTTGAAGTAGTATTAAAATTCGATTACATCACATTTGTAAAGTCTCTATGTTATGGATACAAAATGGATCCGAATTTTCGGACCCTGAATACAACGTAATGCATTAACGCTCTTCTAACCAGAATTTCAGGTCTACCATTTCTACGGTCTTCCGTATGTTCCTCTCAGATCCTCATGCCTTAGTTGTGTTTACGATTACAGCGATGAAGACTGGCCTCTCTTAGTTACAGTGAATATAGTTGAGGTACAAGCGTCTCACGGGATCGTGCAGAAATGGTTGTGGAAATGGTAAACTGCGGATCTTGACCTGGAAGGTGTTAATGCACTCGGATGCACGGCGGCAGTAGAATGATTCGAACCAAGAATTTGTAGGGCAGTAAATGGTTGTGAACTTTTTTTGCAATTAACGGGCGTGAGATGGTGGAAGTGAGATATAGAGTGAGGCCATTAGTCTGGAAACGGAAGTTTTCTTATTACCTGACTTGATCCTTTTATTGGTTCAACTATAACTATAGGTAGTCGAGTACTTCAATATTTAGGTTCTTGCAAGAAAAATGATTACGAGCTATAGATGTCCAAAATTATGTTATCAGGTGTATCAGTTATAAATTGACTTTTTCTTCAATAAAATGACAATGTATAATTTTCTATTAGGCAAAAATAATGTAGGCTGTTAGAATACAAATACTTAATTTCTTTAAAAATAAATACTGAATTTGTCAGAAAAAAAGTGGATTATTCAATCGTCTCTAGATTTAATATATCGCCTAAGGAAAAAACATCTGAAGAAGATGCAATTACATTTTACAGATAATATTTGAGAAAATACAATCGAAGTCTTTCAAGTACACATTTCATAAAGGAATGCTAATGGAATGCTTTTGTATCTTAACACGTTCAGTGTACGCAAGGATCTCGAGTCTTCCATAGGTGTTGAGAAATTAATTACAAAAGAAAACAGCATGATTCAGGTACAGTTGTGCATTCAGTGAACGTGTTAATAATTGGCTGTATTGGATGAGAAACTTTTCATTAACTATCGGGATAAAAAATCACGACCACCGTTTTAGATAAAAAAAACTGCTTTATTGTGGCAGAGCACATGTATTATCATATACCAGCATATAATTAGGAAGTCCATAGTAATTTACAAATTACGATCCACTTAAACGTCGGTACACGTGGCGGTGTATGCAGGCAGATTTGGGAATCAATTTCGATCACATACATGCTGTTACCATGTCTATATTTCACCGTATCATCTCTTCGATCGTTTTAGCCTCTCTTTATTTCGTTATAACATTACTTTTCTTCTTTCAATGCTTCTTTTTTCGAGGGGAGGGGGGGGGTGGGACCTTCTAAAGATCCTTGCAACGATGGTGCACTATTTATAATACATGAAAACAAAGGATATGTGGTCTCTTTCCTTTCGATTTTTTTTTTCGAGAAAATTGTACCCGTACAAGCCGTTGGGATTTCTATTTTTTTTCCGTTCTCTTTTCCTCCAACATGGAGGACCTTGTTTCGCATCTTACAAGTAATCGTGATTATCGCAAGTGACAATAATTCCAGGCATTTGTTCGTATTTAATAGACTCCTTCTGTCGGTCTCAAGCAAGAGTGAAAACTGAATCGACGGTTTTACATATTTATAGAATAAGATATTTCTTTGGAATAATATTCAATCAGAGAAAACATTCGTCGATCCTTCTATTATGTACAACTTTCAATATTGATCTCTCACTTCTCGATTTCGATTTTCATTTTCAATTCATTTCTCTGTATCACGTAATTATTGTTTTTATAAACTATCAACGCTGTAAACGAAACTAGAATGATTTTTGTAATCGAATAGAGTCACTAATACCAGTAAACGATTAAGTCAGTGAATTTTTAAAATAAGAATTGATCATTATTTTAACGATTAAATTATATAATAAAAACATTGAAATTATTTTGTGCGGTTCAACAGGAGAACTAATTGTTAATAAATTTAGGAAATGTAAAATTTCAGATTCAACTTGTTTTCTTTTTTCGTTCTATTTTTTTGCAGTATTTTCATTCGACGTATTCTTCATCACTCGCAGTTTCAAGGCTGCGTTGTCGATGATACCACGACAAGACTGTATTACTTCGATGCTCATATTGTATAGTCAATTAATTTGTTAAATTCGTAACTATTTACTTACACTTTATGCTATAACAATAATAGCAAAATTGCGTGAATGTGTGTCTAAATTGTTTCCTCGTTTAATCTCGTATCTCTTTCGAGTTTGTCGTAATTGTAAATTTTACAGCTATTACAAATATTATTGTTTACATTCGTGTAAGGTAACATTAATTGTAATCATCGTGTTTGTAATCTAGTAATACAAAGTTAAAAATGCGGGAAGTTGAAATTTCACGGTCACGCCGCAGAATATATTCGTGTGTGTTTGTGTGTGTGTACACGTACATGCATTTCACTTCACATTTTTTCAATTCTGATAATCGTTTCACTCGCGTTTACGTTAAAAGAACGCGTCGTCGATGACAATTACGATGAACGCTACCTTTTTGTCTTAAAAATTCGTA